GCAATGGTGGCAGCTCTGTGGTGAGCTCTGCACGCGACAAAGAGTCTGCGACTCACAGTATCTGTTTGCACTTCTTGATGCGAATGCAGCTGCAGGAGTGCGTGACGATATTATTGTGGGTCCTCATGAAGATGCGCCCAGTGCCAGCACACCAATGTTGAGAGCGTTTTTGGAGGAGCAAGACCTTTGTCTCCCAGCGACCTTTTCAACACATGTTGGCAAGCATTCCACCTGGACGTCGCCCTCGGGTGAGCTGCAATGTCGCATTGATCATGTTGCCATACCGCAGTCTTTACGTTCGAAATGCGAATTTTCTATTGTTGACGAGAACTTTGACCTTGGACTGACCCACATTGACCATGAACTGGTGGGCGTGCAGTTACATTGGAAAGGATGTAGTCAACAACGTTTGCAGACGGAGCATCAGAAACAAGGTTTTGAAAGGGCTGATCTCAGCCGTTTGAGTCTGCAGACTGACATGAAGGATTACAAGGTCCCATGCTGGGCTCACAACATTGAGCAACATGTTGATCATTTCAATGAGTTTGTCATCACAGCCATGGAAAAGACGCACCCCAGTCGGAACAGAGGTCCCAAGAAACCCTATCTGGATGAAGAAACCTGGGCATTGCGAGCGTTGAAACTCCGCCATCGCAAAGCCCTACGAGAAATCCATCGAAGACAGAAGATTGAGCTGTTGTTTCAAATATGGCGTGCTTGGACCCGACAGATTGAAGATCAGCAGCAGGTGGACTCTATCCGACGTTATTCAGCCACCCTAGCATGCTGCTCTGTGCGTTGTATGGCTCAACTCCACAATGTCGCTCAGCAACTGAAGGTCCGTCTGTGCAAGGCGAAAGCGCGCTTGCTTCAAAGCCGACTTGAACAGCTGCCAAGAGAAGCCAGTGCCGGACAGATATTACAAGCCATTCACAAAATTCAGGGACCCACGAACCCGAAAAAGATCAAGAGACGCCCATTTCCACTGCTGAAGAGTGACGGCACACACTGTGAGTCCAGCAGCCAGAGGAGTGATCGATGGGCTGAATTCTTTTGCAATATGGAAGGAGGAAGGCGTTTAACACACCATGAGCTCAGAGAAGGTTGGATCGACAATTTGCAGCACTTCCGGCAACATCAGTTTGACTTGAGTTTGGAGACACTACCAACGCTTTGTGATTTGGAACGTGCCTACTCCCATGTACGCATTGGTCGCGCTGTTGGCATGGACTCCATACCTCCGGAAGCATGCAAATACAATGCGGGCCAATTTGCGCGTGCCACCTTTTCACAACTGCTCAAGATGACTCTCCACGGGCAAGAGGCAATCCCTCATAAGGGTGGCCGTCTCACTGCGGCCTACAAAGGGAAAGGTGATGTTGATGACTGCGCGTCGTACCGCAGTCTTTTGGTTTCCTCACAAATCGGAAAATGTTTGCATCGCACATTAAGAATGAACCAGACCAACTTCTACGAGATGTTCTTACAAAACCAACAGCTTGGAGGACGGCCAGGTATCCCTGTCTACCTTGGCATCCATCACTTGCGGGCATTCCTGAGACTACAAAAGAAGTTGAATCGTTCTTGCTGCATCATTTTCCTTGATCTTAAGGAAGCTTTCTATCGAGTCCTTCGACCACTTGCAATGCAAAACCGCTGGGATGACCAGGACATTGCAGATGTAGCCAAACGGCTTGGGCTTCCGCCATCGATCATGGAGGATCTTCATCAACATCTACGTGACCCTTGTGCGCTCCAACAAGCGTCCCTGCCACCAATTTTGCGCAATTGTATCACGGCCATACATACGGACACGTGGTTTGTCGTTGATGGTCAAGACAATGATGTGTGTCGGACCACTGCCGGTAGTCGACCCGGCGACTGCTTTGCAGATACCATCTTTGGCTATCTATGGGCACATGTTTTACGTTCTTTAGAACAAAAGTGCATTGAGATGAACCTCTTAGAAGTTTTTCCTCAGCAAGAGATGGCCAACCCGTTCGCTGCAAATGAGCAGGTCGATCCACCATTGCCGCCAAGGCCATTCCTCGGCCCATGCTGGATGGACGACTTAGCCATACCAGTTGCAGGAAGCTCTGCTGAGGAAGCTGTACGGAAAGTGGGCATTCTAGCAGGACTCCTGCTGGATCAATGTGTGAACTTTGCCATGTCTCCGAATCTTGCGGCGGGGAAAACCGAGATCCTTCTTGCCCTTCGTGGTCGCAAGTCCCGACAGCTGCGCCAGCAGTTCTATGGAGCACATGGCCGGCGCTTGTTTCCAATTGTCGGTGAACATGGTTCCTATCAAATCCAGGTTGTGACCCGCTACAAGCATTTGGGTGGGGTCATTCATCATGGAGGAGATCAGCGACAAGAAGCCAAACAGCGCCTTGCAGTTGCGCATCAGACATTTACTCAACAGAGGAAAGTTCTTTACTGCAACCCTTCGCTGGATCTGAAAACCAGAACGCAAATGTTTGAGTCCATTGTTTGCAGTGCCTTCACCTATGGATCCGAATCATGGTGCTTTGGTACGATTGCGGATCGACATCACATTCATGTTGGCATTATCAAGCTTTATAAGCGTTTGATTAAATGGGTGCCACACAAGCACAATTGCTGGAATGATGATGAGATTTGCGATTTCCTTGGATTGCCGACGCCGACGGAGCTCCTGAGGCGTGCCAGGCTCAGATATATTGGTATTCTGATCCATTGCGGAGCTTATGCTGAGTGGGGGCTCCTTTCTCAAGATCATGAATGGATCTGTCTGATCCAAGACGATTTGGTATGGATGTGGAATCAGCTATGCAGATCGTCAGAACTTCGTGACCCTGCAGTTCACTTTGACCAATGGCTTTATCTGATGCGACACCATCGGGGTTACTGGAAGCGACTCATCAATCGAGCAGTCAGACATGCCATTCTTCAGAGGAGGAGTCGATTAGGTGTCGTGAAGCTGCATCGACGTTCCTTCGCTGTTTTGCAAGCAGCAGGAAGACTTGCACAAGCAGAGCCAATGTACACCAAGTCCCAAAGTGACACAGGGGTGTTTGGATGCATGCAATGTCAACTTCGATGTAAAACTAGAGGAGAAGGGGCCCATTTCTTCCGATGTCATGGCCACACAGCCCCAATTCGTCGCCTTTTTGCTGACACGTGGTGCCCGTGTTGTCAAAAAGAGTTTCACACTTTGACGAAGATGCAATTGCACATACGGAATGTAGGCACTTGCAGACGTGACCTTTGGGCACGGGGACATCTCTTCCCACTTGGGCCTGGCATTGGGTCTCTTGAAGCTCAACAAGGAGATCGACGACATGACGGGGCTCTACCGCCACAGCAAACACAAGGTGCGAGCCTGGAACCAGTTCGTCCTCGAGACATCAGGGTTGAGAGCACAGACCTTATTCTCAAGTTGGTGGATGCGTTGGCAGATCGTGAGCCTGATGCTGCTTTGACTCAGACTCTGCGAGCCACAATTCAAGCACTGCCGATTTCGTGGACACAATGTTCAGCCACGTTGGCAGTCTTTTTGGAGAGTGTGGATGACGATTTTGCTGGAATGCTGGGCCTTGAGACTTCGGTTTTGCGCAAGGCGGTGGAGACTCTCCAACGAGTGGATGCATGGGACTTCTTAGAAGCGCCGGCTCTGGGGCACAGTGGACCAGATGATGAACTGGCTCACTTTGACAGATGGAGCAGCTCCCTTCTTCGAGAAGAACAACCATGGTATCCTAACACACCAGCTCCGCGACCAATTGGGAAAGACAGGATTATCCTACACGCGTTTGCTGGCAGAAGGCGCGTCGGGGACTATCCATTGACAAGTTGTGCGAGACATCAAATGGATTTTTGCTCCATGTCGTGTCCCTCGACATCATTATCGACAAGAAGTACGGCGACTTGAGCGACCCACAGATGCAAGCATTTTGGATTGATGGAATTCAACAAGGATGGGTTCATGGATTCCTTGGGGGTCCACCATGTGCCACATGGTCAAAGGCCAGAGCTGTGCAACACTCTGCCGAAAAGGTGGATCTACATCGTCGTCTTCCACGACCAGTGCGCTCAGCGATGCATTTGTGGGGTCTCTCAGCACTTGCCATACGTGAACTTGAACAAGTGATCGACAGTAATGTTTTACTTGGATTTTGTCTTGAATCCATCCTTTCTCTGGCTGTACAGGGAATGACAGGGATTGTGGAACACCCTGCCGAGCCAGAGGGAGATGATTTTCCATCCATTTGGAAGCTGCCGTTAGTTCACTTAATTCTCACTCTTCCTGGGGCTGAACGTATCAGGTTAGCCCAGGGTTTGCTTGGGGCTGACAGCCCAAAACCAACTGAACTGCTTGTTGTGAATTTGCCTTCCATCAAGCATGACATCTGTAGTTGGCGAATCACCCCTGACCTGCCACGTAATTCCAACATTGGCAGGAATCAGGAAGGTGCTTTCAAAACTACGCAGCTCAAGGAGTACCCTCCTGCCTTTTGCGCAGCGCTGGCTCAATGTACAGTCAAAGCCATGCGAAGCGTTGACACGGCTGAACAGATTCATGTGGACACACAATTTCTGCAGCAGTGTCAGCAAATGGTTAGTCGAGATTTTGGTGCTTACATTGGGCCGGACCACGTCAGGTGATAATTTTTCTTGTTTGTGGTTTTGTGTGTTGTTTTTGGTTTGGGTTTGTTTTCTGTTTGCTGTTTTTGCTTTGTTGCTTTGCTGTTTTTCTGGTTTCATTTGAATGGTCACCTGGGACGGGTCTTTTTGCCTCCAGCTGCAGCTGAACAGAATTCCTAGCACAGGCCGCTGCGACTCGCATCTATGTGCCTCTAGGAAAAAAAATATATGGGGTAAATAATCTTTCGCATTGACGAACTCATATTTTTCAAGATGGTTATTGCACCACCAACCAGTTGTACTGTCCGGTAGCTAGTGGAAACAACGGTGGCAAGCCGCTTGGATCATGGCCCAGCCTGGGAGTTTTCCGCTTCCAGGTACCTGCTCTTGAGCGGCAAGCAACCCTTCTACGGCACCAACAACCGGGAGATCTTCAAACAGGCGACCTTTGCGACCTTTAAGGCTGTGAAAGATGTGTGTAGCAGTGTAGCGTATCTTTGCCAAAAAGGAACCATATGTCACAGTTATGGCACTTAACAGGGCCTTACATGGGGTTAAAACTTCTGTAATTAAGGTTGTATATATATATATAATATATATATATTATTATAGGCCAGCACTGTAAAGGGCACTGCACCTTTGACAAGGGATTGGTAAATGTCCCAAACTGGCTGGGAAATTGTTTCACATCACTTGCAAAAAATAGAACGTTTTTGTTGGAGATGTGATGACATATTCCCTTTTTTTGGTTCGGTGATGTTGAATTAGCGCATTTACCAACTCCCCTCTTGGCCGGGGTATGTCTCTAGCCATTCAAGTGATAGCAAGTCATTTGGCAAAAGGATGTTTCAATGTGTAATGATTGACTGGTTGGTGGCTTGGAGCATTTTTTATTTTTCGATATATTGGGAACAATCATCCCAACTGACTTTCATAGTTTCAGAGGGGTAAGTCAACCACCAACCAGGTAATGATTGATGATTGGTTGCCACATTACACTGTTTGGTGCATAAAATTCCGTTGGAATTCACCAAGAACTATAACTTTCTTCACTTCTGTGAAAAAGCCACCAATGTTCAACCCCCATGGTTTTAGGGTACCCGAATTTTAAAAACACTCAAATATTCATTAATTGAGTTTGACCTATTCTATAGTTCTAAGATCTAGGCCGGTAGTTCCTTTTTTGTCCTTTGATGAGTTTTTCGCGTCTGGGAGCTATTTGACATTCCCTCATCCAGCACCAAGTGTGGCGAATAGGTTGCACGTATCTGGTTGTTTCATGTTGTTTCTACTCTGAGTCAGCCAACTGAATGGACGACTACCTTATCAGAACTGAAGGAGCAGGGCTCCAGCACTTGGCAACTCGACCAATTTAACCAGCTGAAAAAACAATGATTGTTTGAGGGTTTGACAGGTATTGCATTATTTTGCCATGTATTTGTGCCTGATATGGATTGATGATGATTGATGTTGCATGTTTCCCAGCATTTCCCGTCGCAATGGGTCGCTTTTTAAAAGTTGCAACCTCGCTGGTTGCTTGGCACTGGAAATATGGGGGTATGGGTCAAAATTAGGTACCCCAATAATTGGATGGTTAATACTAAACTAGACTTTCACATCTGTGGTCCCCTAGGTCTTCCATTTTGACCCACATCCATGGCTTTTCTCAGGGGATGATTGCAACCTCAGCCGCAGGCGCGCACGGGCAAGTACTCCCTGGAGGATGAAGTTTGGAAGAAGGTGAGCGCTGACGCCAAGGAGGGGATAAATTTCCGGCGGAGTGGACGAGGTTCATGGTTTGAAGCCCCGGTTCATGATTTTTTCGGGGATTATTATAATGATTATAATATTATGTATATATATATATGATATATTAATATTGTTAGTATAACTAAATATAAATAATATATATATATATATATACATAATATATATATATATGTATATGTAGTGAGAATGATCACTATGCGATGGGGATCCCGGAATCAGCCAAGAACTGATGGATCTAACATGATCGACCTAAAAAAACAGATGTTTTTCAGCCAGGAAAAATCTGTTGGCGTTGTAGACCTTTGGATTTCAATACCCATAGGATCCATGTATGGTATATATATATATATGCTAACATTTGGGGTATATTGATGGCAAATGCTACCATATATAGCATACATGGATCCTATGGGATAGTGATTTGTTGCCCTTGTGATTCACGGTACACGTCAAAAGGGGTCCCACATTTGCTGTCGCCTTTGGTTTGAATTTTGACCCATTAGAAGATGGTTCCCCGAACGCAGCCAACTTGGTTTGTATATACATACGTAAACTGCTGTCACTGTTGTGGATTGGTTCAATCGTTTGAGGGGAGATTATCAACCAATAAAGGCGATGCTTCACGCTTCTGGTTTTGACCAGCAGCATGCATACAATGTTCAGAGGCTTATGTGGAGAGTGCTACTAGCGGCTCTCATAGAGGCGGTTCTTGAGTCCACACACACCTGAGGGATGTCACTGCCACGCGAAGCAGTCCACAATATCACCATAAACTCCTCTTGGCTGTACGCCTCGGCATGGATGAAATACTTCCGAGCCCAAGCGATTTCCTGCGGTTCGGTCAGAAGCGAAATGCAGACAGTCCCCAGATGGTGACGTACCATGCCTTCGAGCCGGATTCCAAGAAATTCCCGGAAGCCCACGTTGCTCTTCCGAAGATCGCCACAGGTCTTGTCAAAACCACTTGGAGGAGTGCAGGGCCACTATCTCACTAGGCTTTGCCTGCATGGCCTACCTCGTCCAAGATGCCCCCAATGGCTTTGAGAACGCGTCCAATTGCTACCGGAACCTCCACTGCTGTTAAGAATGTAGATACATCTATAAGCCAAGATAGATAATTTAATTTTCAACTAGTGTTTATTGTAGATATATCAGCATATCTATAGTTTGGGTTTATCCACTAACTTCTAAGAATATCAGCTTTTTAATTGTTACATAAGTTTTATCAGATTATATCACCAAATGTTTTGATTTCATATCCCATATGGAGGTTTCTAAAATGAACGTACCCCCAAATCACCCCAATTTCAATAGACCATTTTAGATTCATTTACTAATCAAACCATTTAAAACCTTTTTTGTGACTTGGGTGGTCCCTCATGACCCACTAAAGGCACCACTAAAGGCACCACTTCTCGGCACCTTGGTCGCGAAGCCGCCAGGAGTTGCTATCGAAGCTATTGCATTTGGACCCCACACAGCGCATCAGTGCCAGCAAGGCTGGAAAATGGAACATGTAACATGATCCATTACGCATAGGATCCATGGTGCTGGTATATATGCTAACATAAAGGGGGTATATTGATGGTAAATGTTACCATATATAGCATACATGGATCCTATGGGTTATTACATGTTCCCTGAGGGTAGAAAAAGTATTAAAGGATTTATATAAGCATGAAAATAAATGAACATAGAAGTGGTTTTTATGCGTAGATTTCAGCAACTGAAACTGCGTAAATTGAAATTGGAAAATGAGGAATTTCAAGCCATTCAAAAAAGCGGGCTTCCCTGGGATCCCTATTTTTGGTGGACTCCATTTAGATGCAATCGCGACCACACCTTTTGGCGACTCATCCCGGCCATCTCGGAACCACGAGATATGGAGAAGATTTGAGAATTTCACGATTTGATGGATGACACTTGTGATGTTTTTGATGACTGGAAATCATGTATATGCTAACGGGTGCCAAACCGTACGTGTAGTTACACACATTTTCAACATGGGGTGGGGTGGGGTGGGGTGGGGTGGGGATGTTAACGTTCGTTAGCAGTTGAAGACGCCACGCATGCTACGCTGAGCATGTGGTGGGGTGGAGATGTGTACGTTCGGTTGAAGTTGAACACGCCACTGCTGCTACGCTGATCATGGGGTGGGGATGGGGTGGGGTGGGGATGTTCACGTTCGTTAGCATTTCAACACGCCACGCATCCTACGCTGACCATGTGGTGGGGTGGAGATGTGAACGTTCGGTTGAAGTTGAACACGCCACTGCTGCTACGCTGATCATGGGGTGGGGTGGGGATGTTCACGTTCGTTAGCATTTGAACACGCCACGCATGCTACGCTGAGCATGTGGTGGGGTGGAGATGTGAACGTTCGGTTGAAGTTGAACACGCCACTGCTGCTACGCTGATCATGGGGTGGGGATGGGGTGGGGTGGGGTGGGGATGTTCACGTTCGTTAGCATTTGAACACGCCACGCATGCTACGCTGAGCATGTGGTGGGGTGGAGATGTGAACGTTTGGTTGAAGTTGAACACGCCACTGCTGCTACGCTGATCATGGGGTGGGGTGGGGTGGGGATGTTAACGTTCGTTAGCATTTGAACACGCCACGCATGCGACGCTGAGCATGTGGTGGGGTGGAGATGTGAACGTTCGGTTGAAGTTGAACACGCCACTGCTGCTACGCTGATCATGGGGTGGGGATGGGGTGGGGTGGGGTGGGGATGTTCACGTTCGTTAGCATTTGAACACGCCACGCATGCTACGCTGAGCATGTGGTGGGGTGGAGATGTGAACGTTCGGTTGAAGTTGAACACGCCACTGCTGCTACGCTGATCATGGGGTGGGGATGGGGTGGGGTGGGGATGTCAACGTATATCGTGTGTTCTCGTTACCTGTTTTGAGGAGTGCATCATAATAATTTATAATGGTTGTCATACTTCTGTTGATAGTGTCTTTCACCACGGTAACGATAAAGTTCATCCCAATGGTGATAAAAATCGCCCTCTAATTTCATATGTTGGTCATTATTGGATATGCTTGGTATGATAGCGATCTTTCATATCGTGAGGATAATAACTCATCAAATCACTAGTCAGTGAGGTCTACATGCACAATGATCAATGAAAGTGGCAAGGCAAAAAAGGTCCGAAATTTGTGTTGTAAGGGTTGCAAAATCCAAGAAAAATGACATTTTTTTGGAACATTTTTTTGCTGATCAGAAGGCCACGAAACACTGAAAGGGTTGTCATTTTTTTCAGCATGTTGATGCGCCTACACGCGCGATTCCGCACCCGGCGGGATGTATATGATGATTATCATGAGTGTGTTTTGTTTGCCTTGTTTGGTATAATCACATATATAGTCACTATACTTATTACAGGTCAAGTGATTCATTGATTATTGCTACAACGTGATGAGTTGATCATTGGACATTAAGAATTGTATATCGCTATCCTTACCATGTTGTTTTTTTTCCGGCACCTCTCATGGTTAGCCACAGATGGTACCCCCAGTGTGCGAGAGGCACTACGAGATAACTGGATCACCAAGGAGGCCGGACGAAGCAAGTCATGGGGGGTTTTCTAAGTCATGGGGGTACCCCCAGTTCTAGGTCAACTTTGGATGGGTAGAAACTAATCCTTTAGTCTTTTGGTATTGGATTATCTACTAACTAACCAGATCAGAATTTATGTTTTTTGCGGGGTATCTAAGATTGGCCATGAGTTATCATCCTGTTTATTCCTGTTTCATTGGATTTTCCAGTATAAACCAACTATTTTGGGTTACCATCATTTATGGAAACCCCCCTGTAACATGAAGTGGAAACTCACCCTCAGTTGCTCATAAACGCATTGACCTATGCATTTCTGTGCCCCAAAATCCCATTGTTGGCATGATTTGTGTATAATTAAAATGGCTATAGAAAGAGGTCAATATACAGATACTATATGATATAATCCCATTGATATACCATGATATACCCATGATATGCATATAGAAATGGGTATATCATGGGTATATCATGGGTATATCATGGTATATCAATGTTTATATGTTCAACATTAATGTCACTAATGCAACTGGACAACCCCCGAAGTCGTCTTCGGTTCTTAGGTTCCGCTAAAACAGGTTCCCTTGCGACGAACGTCTGGGACGACCTTGAACTTCAGAATGGTGGAGGGGGAGCTCCTGGGCGTTTATGGTGCCCATGACGGATCCATTCACGGTGCTGCTATATATCTGGGTAAATTATAACGACCTCACTGCGACCTCACTGGAAATCATGGTTAGTAAGGGAAATCATCCCCAAATGGCCTTAATTCAGGTTAGTGAAATATTATAATTTACCCAGATCAATATACCCCGGTCATGTTAGCATATATACAGAAAACCATGGATCCGTCATGGGTTACAACAATGTGGTGCCCCAGTTCGTTAGCTAAGTTGGTCTAGATTCAGCCCATGGAAACTAGTTCGTTATATCTACCATAAACCATAGTGAAATTGGAGTTGGTTATAAACTAACTTAGCGTTCACGAACTGGGGCACCACCTTGAAGCATATGCTTATGGGTCAAAATCTAGGTCAATCTTAGATGGATACTTTAATCCTTTAGTCTTTTGGTATCAATGGGAATATCTATATATATCTACTAACCAGCAAAGAATTTGTCATTTTTTGCAGGGTATCTAAGATTGGCAATGAAATGGAGTACCCCAATTATTGGATCGTTACTAAAAAATATATTCCTGAAATCTGTGGTTCCCCAGGTTTTTTCACACTTTGACCCATCCCGATATTTGATCAACCAATATATGGTAGGAAAAACCCATCAACGTTTATGAACAACCAAGGGGATGTGGATAAAATTTAAGCTGTGGATATAACGTCATAGATGTTGTGGATATAACTGTGAATATAACTTTAACTTACAATAATCCCATCTTCACTGGTGGTGTGGAAACACGTGTTGTTTGAAAAAGCATATGTGGGATGGTTTCAAACCACCAACCAGACGTCTTTTTGTACTTAAATATAAGGGAATTCTTGTGAGCAAATTTGAACCAATTTTTAGAGAGAACCCAAAAAAACTCATATTCTTGCTTAACTATCCATATCCTCACTATTTCCCCATTACACATCTTTATACCCATAGTTTTGCCTGTAGAGGAACCCACTCTCCCCATACGTTTCACTAAAAGTCCCATTCCTGAATCCACATTCGGACAGATCTCGGAAATCTTTGGGGAATACCTTTCAATTGAATAGGAACTAAAGACATCAATTTTAATCCTAGCTTTGGGGTATTTCAGACCCAGATTCCTTCCACGTCCTAGGACAGTCCTGCAGAACCTGCGCCACTTTGCGGGGCAGTCGCGCTTCAAGCGAACTGCGCTGGCAGCCACTTGGGCAGTGGGACAACGGAAGTGGATACAAGTGGGGGTGTGCATCCCAGTTAGTACGTCGTCACCAAATTAGAGCCCGCTTAGATGTGGGACATACCCGAGTCATGCATCAATCACACATATCAACTGTAGATTCCCACAAAATCCCAAGCTTTTTGTGGCATCAAAAAGATGCCACATCAATACATTATGTACGCCTAGTTGTGGAAGTCAAAGCGTTTCAATGAAATGTGCGTCCTAGGTGGGGGAGAAATTTCTGGAAGTCGGTGCGATGTTGCGTCCAGTTGGTGTTTAGCATGTTTGTGTTTTCTCCAATTGATGGTTTATCGTGAGTTTTTCATGGATACCATGCAGATGGTTGTAGCTATTCCCTTGTGTTTTGGGAGTTTCGTACATCACTTGTGGCTCGCTCTGTTGTGCAAGATTCATACAAACACCGACGAATACTGGGTCGATGTTATAACAAGTGCCTATGGCGAAAGGCCCGCATGGGCAGCGCCTATCACTTTAACTTACTGATGTATTTTTTGGCACTTCGCATAGGCACACGACGCTTTCCTGTCATATCTTTTCGGGTTTACCCACTATACTCCCAAAGATGAAAGTCGTGGCAATTGTATACTTGTTTGCCAAGCCACCGCTGAAAGCTCTTGAGTCTAACTGTTCTGAAAAGAACGCAAAAGCGTGTGGCTACCAAAGAGTTTGTCAGGAGACTTAGGGGGTCAGTCTCCCAAAATCTGATTTCGGACCTCGTTTGGACCTCGTTTGCACCTCGTTCGGACCTCGTTAAAATTGCAGCCAGTCAAAACCCAGCCCGGAGAGGTTTTGGAAAGGCTTTGCAATGGTCTGCTGCTTGGTCTGCTGCTGCTGCTTCTTGGTCTGCTAGTAAAACCAAGAAGCAGAGGATTGATTTCCTGCAGGCCTATGGCAAGATGAGGTCGTTGCAGTTTGTTCCGAAGAGCAAATGAGCGGAAAAAAGATAGCCGTACCACAGGGCAGAGAACGTGGATGAGATTTGCAACTGTACATTCACTTAGCAACATTCGAATCCCGAAGTCTTCCATTCCTTACCAAATTCCTTCGGGAAAGCCACCAGAAACATTCCTTCAGATTATTATTCAGACATATTTGAGATTCATGTGTGTGGAGACGCGTCCTGATTGGGATTTGGAAAATTTGGCATATATTTTTAAGACATAACTGTGCACACGCGTCCTGATGGGGATTTGGAAAATTTGGCAATACAAAAGTGCACTGCCAGGGATCTAAAAATAACACTTCTACATAGTGCGTCCCATGGTGTTTTAGACCTAGTTGCATTGACTTGTTTGACTTCCTGAATGCGCGGCGTCCCATGCAGTTTTTACCTTGGTTCCACATATGCACTGACTTTCACGTCCCATGAGTATATATCATTATATATATAGTTGATATTAATAGAAATTAGCAATATATTGATATCATATTAACATATATATAGTCAGAGATTTGAGATTATAGACTATAGATATTAAATTAAATATGCCTTTAATATCTATAGTTCAAAGTATATCTATAGATATTAACAAAGATTTGAGATTAGGTAACATTAATATTATATATATATATATATAGTTGATAACATTAAATTAAATAAGCCTTTACTTCAAAGAATCCCCGCTGTTTTTTGGGTGAACTTCTGAGGTCATCGCCTCTCAGATGAGTCACGAGAAGATCCAGATGCTGCGGGAGGTCTTCAGCGAGATCGACAGCGATCAGGAGCCACGGCCTCCAAGGCCATCCCAGGTGGATTTTTCGGGGATTTTGATGGGATTTTACTTGGTGATTTTCATGGCATTTTCAAGCAAGTGGATGGGTTCTGTTTATTGGATTTGATGGTGATTTGTTTTTTTTAATGTGATTTACAGTGATTTGTATGGGATTTAATGATGATTTGCTTGGGTTTTTGATGGGTTTGGTTGACGTTGATTCGGTTGAGTTACACAAAAATCACCAGTCTTGTTGGTTTATTGTAGATTCTCCCAAGCAAATCCCAACAAACATTGATTAAATGATTTATATATACATTATATATATATTACTATAATACAATATAATATAATATAATATAATATAATATAATATATAATAAAATATAATATAATATAATATATCATATAATATAATATAATATAGTATAATATAATACAATATATAATATAAAATAATATAATATAATATCATATAATATAATATCATATAATATAATATAATATAATATAAAATATAATAATATATAGTATAATATATAATATAATATAAAATATAATATAATATAGTATAATATAATATAATATGATATGATATAATATATACAAGTGCATTTTCTCCAAACTTGTAGAACCACTTATATAAACATACATGAAACTCCTTCCAAAGTTACTGGATGAAAATTGTGTGTTTCTAAAAGTTTGTTGGAACATAGGCAAGAGTTCTACGCTTGCAGGCGTCTCATCATGTGTTTCCTTGAGGTATTTTAACCTAGCCAAGGAACATCACCCATGTTTGAAGTTTGAAGGATTTACCGATCGGAAAGAGCCATTTCCAATGGCTACGTTAGATTACCAGAGGTTAAACCCGCAAGATGTGGCCCCCACAGTTCTTTCCATTGGTTGATCAAGCCCATTTCAGTATAAATATAGCCACCATCAGTCTGAGTTACCCTGCTTCGAAACCAACTTTCGGCCTTACAGGATGGCAAAGTGACGATGGAGGAGCTTTACGAAGCTCTGAAGGACCACTTGGACCAGGTACCCGAGGCCTTCGACCGGGACCGGGACGGGACCTGGAGGGAAGTCCCTGGGGCTCGTCATGGTTATGATGGTTATCCCTAGAAAACCAAACCCAAACCATCGAGTTTTTCTAGGGATAACCAATATTTGATGGTTTTGGGCCGGTTGGAGATTGATAACCAATTTCACCATTTTCTTTGCAAAAAGACATGGCGGTTTTGGGGAGAAAAGGCGTGGTTTTTGGCGTTAGAGGATTGGATTTACCCTCTGGTAAACGTAGCCACATAACTGTGGAAAGATCCACCATTTTATAGCTGGGTAAATCAACTATTTCTATTGCCATGTTCAATGGCTTTTTGTAACCGTTTACCAGAGGGTATATCCCATTAATATCCCATTAATATCCCATTAATATCCCATTGAATCACTATAAAATCCCATTAAATCAATAGGAATCTGTTAGTTTACCAGAGGGTAACCAACTCTGGGGATGTGTGGAGACACCTGGTGACCTGGTGACGACTAGTCATTTTGTGGACACAAAAAAAACCCGAAGGCCGAAGCCCTGGCGGTCGCTGGAATATGTGTTTTTTTTGGTGGTTTTTTAGGGTTGTTTCTAACCCGTAGGATCCATGGTTTTCTGGTAGAAAAATGCTGACATGACTGGGGTATATGGATGGGATCCATGTTGCCATATATAGCAGCACCATGGATCCTATGGGTAAGGGGTGAAGGTTGAAATGACACATTCTCTCTTGTCAACCACGAATCAAAGAAAAATATACGAAACATGTCCTTCTTCCAGCCTTATTTCTAGCTTTTTTTTGGATGTCCTTCTTAGTGCCTCAATAAGGATTTAACAAGGCCTCAATCCGGCGTTAATAAGCCTTTATTTTTTAATTCTGGTGGGTGGTACTTAGGAGGGGGGACTCGTAGACCCCATGATAGGACCTGATGATGTTATAGTCTTTTGGAATTGGGAGACACTTTTAATCTTTGACAACCAAACATAATCGGGTACATTTGGATTTAAAATCCAATCACAACAAACCACAAACAACGCCAAAATTTGCCAGAAGTGGCTGGGATGTCAGCCCTACCCTACCTGGGGTTATGGCATATGGCGATTAGCTTTAGCACACTACCTATAGCCTTGCTTGAATGGCGGACATATTTCCCGGTTCCATTGAATTGGATGAAGGGAGCATTTAAGCTGTAAACCGGAAAAAACATGAAAAAGCCATAAAACGAATCAAAAAGGTAGAAACGGATTTCGACAGGTCAAATTCATGTAAACTCATGGTAATCTTATTTTTGGGGGTTCCAGGTAGGTTTTCCGAAGAAAACCCAACCAGAAAAGCTTCCATCCTGCCAGGATGCTCGATCCCTATTGGATGCGATAGACATCACGGGCAAAGGCCAGCTGCTCAAAGATTGGTTTAGCAACACACATTGGTCGTTTATTTTCCCAAAACATTTATCAATGATATATAGATGAATATAGTATTGTTGATAGAAGCTGAATAATGGTGAAATAGTTAGGATATGTCAGGACTCTGGCCAACTGTCCGGCTGATACATTAGAAGCTGGTACATATATAGCACACTTCAGACGGAGTAAACTAGTGCCTTTCTTCAAGATGCACACGACAAAAAAAAATGATGCTTAACTCCCGCCTTTGGTCAAATCATGATGTTTGATGGGTTTAATCATGTTTCATCACCATGGCTGTTTCATCCTCATTGATGGCTAAATCAAAGAAACATCACCATGGTGATAAACATGATTAAATCCATGTTTCTTTGGATTGATCACCATCCTGATTGAAGAAACCAATGTTTGAAACTCATGGTTAACCATTATTAACCATTATTAACCATTATTAACCATTATTATAACCATTATTAACCATTATTAACCATTATTAACCATTATTATAACCATTATTATAACCATTATTAATCATTATTAACCATTATTCACCATTATTAACCATTATTAACCATTATTATAACCATTATTATAACCATTATTAACCATTATTCACCATTATTAACCATTATTAACCATTATTATAACCATTATTAACCATTATTAACCATTATTATAACCATTATTAACCATTATTAACCATTATTAACCATTATTCACCATTATTCACCATTATTAACCATTATTATAACCATTATTATAACCATTATTAACCATTATTAACCATTATTCACCAATTATTAACCATTATTAACCATGGCTGAATGACCAATGTTTGATGGCATCACCGTGGGAGGCCATGTGGTCTACTCCGAGTTTGTGGCTGCCGCCATCGATGCTCGCACTGACCTCTGCGAGGAGGTGGGTGAACATGATAGGTTTTTATATAGGTTTTATATAGGTTTTATATAGGTTTTATATAGGTTTTTATATAGGTTTTTTATATAGGTTGTATATAGGTTGTATATTATATAGGTTTTGTATAGATTTTGTAATTTCTTGAGTTTTCCATACATAGTTTGAATATGTTCTAGTTAGTGCTATAACCCCACTATGAAATATGTGAGATTAGTAGCTATGAATTGTTGAGAATGGTTGATATTGGCTGCTACTGGTTGATCGTGGTTGACAATGGTAGATTATAGGCCTTATCAGTTGTAACTGGCTTGTTTCATGATATATATATATATAACCAACTAGTGACAGGAGCTATAATCAAGTTTCTTACTGTTAAGGGCCAATTCACTGCAAGAATTCGTGAAAGTTCATGATATTTTTTCATAGGTTTTAGAATATTTTTCAGTATCGAAATGGGGCATTGATCAAGGTATTAGATGGGGGATATGAAGCAACAAAACACATATAGATTCTGGGTAAATTACAGCGACCTCACTACGACCTCACTGGAATCATGGTTAGTAAGGGGAATCATCCCCAAATGGCCTTAATTCAGGTTAGTGAAACATTTGCCCAGAAATAATGGATTTTGCTATCAAGAATGTGGTATTGAAACATCAACAATACGGGGATCCTGGTTGGAAATTGCACTTCGCCGGCTCAAAAAATACATGTGTTTCATGGTTGGCAGCTGAGTTATTCTCATACTCCTTCAAAAAAATGGGATGCACTGGGTTCATTAGTTGAATAGGTGGATGATGTTACTAAGTTTTGATGATGAAATATGGTTAAATCATCCTACATCGATGATTACTCCCTGTGATTCTTGAGGCTTGAATCCTTTGATATCTCCAGTAAATCCTCATTTTCTTCCGGTTAAATCACCTATGGACCTATTTTCCCTAGTAAACTCAGCATTTTCCAAGATAAATTCAGCATTTTGGGTGTGATTCCTGGCCTGCATGCCAGGTCTGTTGGAACGCTTTCAAACACTTCGATCGCAACGACAACGGCTCCATCTCCCACTCCGAGTGCCGCGGCTTCCGGAGTTAGGACCTGGAGGACCTGGGAAGTGATACGATTCATTTGAGCAGTGGCTGCTAAAGCCCCGGTGATGAAATCCGTTTGGGGATTATACTACCCTTCATATATTGGCTGGTTGGTGGTTGGGAACATTTTTTATTTTTCCATATATTGGGAATGTAATCATCCCAACTGACTATATAATATTTTTCAGAGGGGTCAACCACCAACCAGTTGGGGGTTATAAAAATCCAATAGGGATGACACAGTCGGGGTTTTGAACACTGCTCAGTTGGGGTGGCTTCAGAGGATCTTCAGAGGTCCACGGTTGGGACACCAACAGGAGCCCCCGTGAGCCCAACACAAGGCAACAGAATTTGCAGATGACCCAACTAACAGTTATAAATGGGAATATAAAGTGGGATGAACTCTCTCCTATCACTAAGCTTATATATATATATGTACAATTATGTAAAATTATAATTATAATTCCATTTACAACTGTTAGTTGGGCCATAACTGCAGTCACATCTGCAGCATTGACCAATACACCTGCAGCACCAACTCCAGCGCAGGTTAATGGTTAATATTAATGGATATTAATGGTCTATAATGGAAAGTGTGGGCAACCCAATGCCATAAACTTACTTGGGTTAAATTAATTGGGGATTATGAACTAACCCATATGAAAAGGAAATCTATCAACCTGCCAGTATTGGGATGGGCATGAGTCAAGAGCTGTTGGACCATGTATGGGATCGGGCTGTTTGGATCTTGTTTTTTTTGACCCTATATTATTGCACAATAGCTTTTTTTAGTTGCCGGCCATCCCGGCCACGGCCACGGCCCGGCCACGGCCACGGCCACAGCCACCCGGCCACCCGGCCACCCGGCCACCCGGCCACCCGGCCACGGCCACGACCACGACCACGGCCACCCGGCCACCCGGCCACGCGGCCACGCGGCCACGCGGCCACGGCCACGGCCACGGCCACGGCCACCCGACCACGGCCACACGACCACGGCCACACGGCCACATGGCCACATGGCCACACGGCCACACGGCCACACGGCCACACGGCCACACCCGGCCATCCGGCCACCCGCCAGCCGGCCACCTGTTTCCTGTGTTTTTGATGGAATTACTGTAATTGTTTTGAGCTTCTTAACTTTTTCGAACAACTTGCGACACGCTCCTGCATGGTGCCTGGTGCTATGCTCTTTTCTTTCCCAGGCAGCTTTGCAACATGCTCTTGATGCTATGCGCTGAACCTTTTCAAGCAACTTGCAACGCACTCTTCCTGCTACTCTTTGAACTTCTCAGGCGACTGGCAACACACTCTTGATCCCACACTTTCAACTTTCTCCTGCAACTTACAACACGCTCTTGGTGCTAACCCTTTCGGGCCCTCAATCCCAAATTTCTCAAGCAACTTGCAGGCTCTTGGTGCTACGCGCTTAACTATCTCAAGCAGCATGGCACACGCTCTTGATGCTACGCCCTCGATGTTCTCAAGCAACCACGCAACACGCTCTTGATGTTACTTCTCTCATGCGCTCAACCTTATGGTTGTGGTGGATTTTGACATGGAACACGTATAACCAGGTGTCACTGTTCTAAATCATGTTTGCAAGGAATTAACGTTCATTTTTGCTGCCAATAGCTATTTTACCACCCCAAAAAAAAGAACGCAAGTGAATGCACCTCCGAGATCTTCACTTTCAGCTGAATTTCCACGGTAATGCTACTGGTAGTGATGATGATGATGATGATGGTGGTGGTGATGATGGTGATGTCGATGAGAGATAATAATTATTCAGATGTTTCATTGGCTCTGCAGGGCGCACAGTGCCAAAATTCTTTTTAGGTTTTCAGGGCCCAAGCAGTTTGAGCATCCAACAGTCACAAGCAGGTGTCAACTACCGTGGCTATCTGCCCTTTTAATTTCTATTGATGATATTTACAAGTTTTCTGTGATATGACATTCTGATCGTTTCTTGCCACTTGTTTAAGGTGCCTGGCATCTGAGAGGCTCGCGACTGTTGTCATATTTTGCCTTCTACTATGAAAATAACATTGTGTGTGGGGGTGGGGTGGGGTGCAGGGGGTGGGGTGGTATAATAACGTCATATACACTTCCACACATATGTGATGCAACATATCTGTACGCTCTCTTGCATTTCATTCACATCCACACTTACGTCTGCTACGCTTCTGTAAACTCTTTGGCACTTCCACACGCACGCGTCATGCTACGCTGTAGGTTCTTTTGCGCTTCCACACATGCGTCATGCTACGCTGTAGGTACTTTTGCACTTCTACACATGCGCCATGCTACGCTGTAGGTTCTTTTCCACGTCCACACATACGTCATGCTACGCTGTAGATTCTCTTGCACTTCCACACATACGTCATGCTACGCTGTAGGTACTCTTGCACTTCCATACATGTGTCATGCTACGCTGCTGTAGATTCTCTTGCACTTCCACACATACCTCATGCTACGCTGTAGGTGCTCTTGCACTTCCACACATGTGTCATGTTACGCTGTAGGTCCTCTTGCACTTCGCACATGTGTCATGCTACTACGCTGCTGTAGATTCTCTTGCACTTCCACACATACCTCATGCTACGCTATAGGTACTCTTGCACTTCCACACAGGTGTCATGTTACGCTGCTGTAGGCTCTCTTGCGCTTCCACACATACGTCATGCTACGCTGTAGGTTCTCTTGCACATCTACACATGCGTCATGCTACGCTGTAGGTTCTTTTCCACTTCCACACGTCATGCTACGCTGTAGGTAGTCTTGCACTTCCATACATGTGTCATGCTACGCTGCTGTAGATTCTCTTGCACTTCCACACATACCTCATGCTACGCTGTAGGTAGTCTTGCACCATACATGTGTCATGCTACGCTGCTGTAGATTCTCTTGCACTTCCACACATGTGTAATGCTACTACGCTGCTGTAGATTCTTTTGCACTTCCACACATACCTCATGCTACGCTGTAGGTACTCTTGCACTTCCACACATACCTCATGCTACGCTGTAGGTACTCTTGCACTTCCACACATGTGTCATGCTACGCTGTGGGTACTCTTGCGCTTCTACACATGCGTCATGCTACGCTGCTGTAGGTTTTTTTTTGTACTTCCACACATGTGTCAGGCTACGCTGTAGGTACTCTTGCACTTCTACACATGCGTCATGCTACGCTGTAGGTTCTGTTGCACTTCCACACATACGTCATGCTACGCTGTAGGTACTCTTGCACTTCCACACATACGTCATGCTACGCTGTAGGTACTCTTGCACTTCTACACATGCGTCATTCTACGCTGCTGTATGTTCTCACCGTATGCTGATGATGGTGGTGATGATGATGATGATGTTCATATTGCTGATGATACTAAAGTTTCGTTTTTGAGCCTTTTCAATTCCCCCCTAGAAAATGTTTGAAAAGTGACGGCAATCGCGGGCCTCTCAGATGCCCGGCACCTTGTTTAACAAGTTGTTTCCTATTCCATGATGCATCTCGTGTCAAGTGCTTGTCTTCGCCGTCATTTGCTGGTGTACACCTTTTGTTCACTTCATCCATCTCCTCCTCCCGTGAAAGAAATGCTACTGCTGCTGGCTTCCTGTGGCTATTCCATGTGATAATGAAGGCGATTGTCAAATAGAGCTTTGACAACAGAGGCAAGAACTTAACTGCTGAACTGCATGGAGTGATCGTGTTGTCTTAAAGGGGAATGAGTTTATACATGTGGGTAGGAATTAGCACACAAATCGATGTTTCTGGTTGAGACATATATGGTAAATTTGTTCAAGCAATCTTGCGCCACATACGGGACAGCAAAACGCTGCTTGATATTGTTTGAAATCAGCAGTAAGCAAATTACAATCATCTTCTAAAAACGCTCCTCCCCCCCACCGCCACCCACCCACAAATCCCGGCCAACCAGCCAACCAGCCATCCGGCCACGGCCACGGCCACCCGGCCACACCCGGCCACACCCGCCCACCCGCCCACCTGCCCACCTGCCCACCCAGCCAGGCGGCCATCCGGCCACCCGGCCATCCGGCCATCCGGCCACCCGGCCATCCGCCCCATCGCCCCGGCCACAGCCACGGCCACCCGGCCACGGCCACCCGGCCACGGCCACCCGGCCACCCGGCCACGGCCACCCGCGTGGCCGCCCGGCCACGGCCACCCGGCCACGGCCACCCGGCCACGGCCACGGCCATGCACGAAAAAAATCTATCCTCATATTATTGGACAAATCCATATTTAGTTCTGATGCATGGTTATATTCTATATATATATTTTTTAAATATTTGTATATATTAATAAACATTATATGTTTTGTTTCATATATTATATTATATTGTATCTATATATATATATATATTAGTACACCTGAAGTTAGTAAACTCGTCTTTAAATTCGTAGAACGTATTTTTATTTTCCCCAGGTTTTGGCACGAGCACGGATTCAGTAATGGATATTTCTCCAACAAAACCAAGAGAGTTAGGATCCATGGTTTGGAATGTGTGATAATATGACAAGTGATTCCCAAAATATCCGACAACATGCGAAACAATGATATGTTATGGAATGTATAGTGGGATATGGTGGGATTTAATTGATATGATGGATCATTTTATAGTATATTTCACCAACAATATGGGGGTTGTTCAGACATGGGAATGCAAGCAGCGGTTCTACGGGGATGTTGATTGTCAGAGCACCATGAGATTTTGGGGAAACGGAAACTGCCAGATCCAAATGGGGCCAAGGGCCCTGGAATCAAACCGCTGCATCTTGGATTGTTTGCCTAACCCCCTGGTAAACATACACAAAACTATGGAAAATCACCAGTTTAAATGGGTAAATCAACGAACTAAATGACAGTTTTCAATAGCTTTTTGTTTGTTTACCAGAGGGTATATCCCATTAATATCCCATTAAATCACTATAAAATCCCATTAAATCACTATAAAATCCCTTTAAATCACTATAAAGTGCCATTGAATCACTATAAAATGCCATTGAATCACAACCAAACTTGGATTCTGTGGTAAATCAATCACAATCTATACTCGACACGTCAAGTTCCAGTGAACGAAGCACCGACTGGCAATCCGAGAGAGCGTTTTCCGGAAACCCATGAAAGTAGAATCGATTTACCTTCTGGTAATTTAACAGAACTATGGAAAATCACCATAGAAATAGTGAATTTTCCCATGAAAAATGGTGATTTTCCATAGTTTTTTGTATGTTTACCAGAGGGTACCTGTATGTGACCTACCTCTGAAATCTCCACGTCAAAAAAATCCATGACTCGCCATTCAGGTTGGAAACGCTTCTGGAGCAGGAAGCCATTCAGGAGCCTGGGTCAAGCTCTCGAGCCATGAATTTCCAGATACTCTATGCTTCTGTGAAATTGTGAATACGAGATACTAAAAATAAGATACTTCTGTGTTCGATAAGAAAGTTGATGATTTTTGAATGATCATTGGAATTTTAGAGGTACATCTTCACGCACACCCGCTGGTCTGTTTTTTCAATAAACATCAGATGATTTAACAAAAGGCTCATTGAGTTTAACTAGAAATTAACCATACACCAAATTTAACTAGAAATTTTCAATTATTAACACATCTAGGATGATTTAGCTTGACACCAGAGTTAAACCAGATATCAGATGATGCACCAACGTTTCAGGTGAAATCATCCTCAACAATGGAAATAAGGACACACCCCTAAAACTCCCTCAGTTTTCAAAACCATTCTGGGGTGCATACCCTCCGGTAAACTAACATAACCATGGAAAATCACCATGTTCAATGGGAAAATCCACTATAAATGGTCATTTTCAATAGCTATGTTAAATTACCAGAGGGTAGTTGTATACAAAACCGATTACCGATCCCTGTTCTTTTTTTTTTGTGCAATGACATCATTGTTGTTTTGTCCAGTTTTATTCGTTCTATCCCGGTCCTGGCATTGCCACATCCCTTGGCTATGTGTGTTTTTTTAGCCATATTATAGAATTGGCTCGTGGTTGGTGGTTTCAAGCACAGATGTTTTTTTTTTTTCATAGGCTTAATACATCCCAGCTAGGTTTAGAATCCTGTCATATGTCAATGTTCCACCAAGAACTTTCAAAGCTGGCTGAGCAGTTTCAGACATATGGAGCTTTCCAATCCATGGGCCCCAAGTTATCCAAGTCATGGATGGCCGTTCTGGTATTGAAACCCATGGTGACTTGGGGTACCTCCGTTTTAAGAACCCTCCAGATCAGCCATAGTTGCGACATGTTGCGACGATGCTCCACAAAAGGTTGAGTAGATGAGTGCATTGTTAAGTGATGTGTTTGCCATGTTGATACTTATCAACAACTTACCATAGCCCCAACTAAGATTTCAAAGAAAAGTATTCTTCCAACCGATTCCAACCCCCATGGTAGTTGGGCACATTGAAGTCCCAGAATCTCCTGATGAATCAATGCAGTTTTAGATGACTAGAATTGATTCAAATGACTAGATCTAAGATGGGGATTTGGATTTGGAGGATTAGAATTGAATAGATGAATAAAATAGTAAAGCCTTAAAGCCATCCAACAAAACCCCATGGTTTCGTGATGAAATAAATGAATCAATGCAGGGTATCTAAGTTTCTCCTCACCGTTAGGAGATCGAGTCAGCTCCGGGCGCGGCAAAAACCATGATTGGAGAGGCTGGTGGCAGCGTAAGGTGCTGGTTATAAGTATAATGGGATGTAGTTAATCATGGTTAACAATGGTTAATGATGGATAACACCAGGACAAAAGTTTTTTTTCTCTTGACTAGCTGCTGCAACCCTCTCCACTTAGACTCCTGACAGGTTTCATACGAATCACATGGCGGATCGCGGATCAGCTGGTTTGCTTTAAAAGAGTTGTAATAATTTACTTACTGGTGCTTAGTAGGGAATGGATGGGAATGGGGGAATGAGATGATTACTGATAGTTATTGTGGATCATTCCCTCATTCCCTACTAAGCACCAGTAAGTTTATTCCGACTTGAAATACGATCCGCAGCTGAGGGTCATGATGCGTATAAGACTCTAAACGGGAAAAACGTTCTTCCTCCTGATGATGGAATGATTAATGATGGTTGATAACCTTTTTTGTGTGGTTCTGATGGGTTGTAAGAGTTGTTTCCACTGCAAAGATCCTGAAAAAAAAGTGTCAAAGTCAAAGAGAGTGAAGGTTTTGGGTGCCAGTGGCTTTTACCAAAGACCTTTCTGATCCAGCATGTTCAATGGAGAAATAAGTTTAATAAAGTTGTTCCTGGAATAAATATCCACAGATTTGAAGATACAGAGAAAAAAACGTTAGACTTAGATGTTCCCCACCTGCCAGGTGAGGGTAGATTTGAAAACCTGAAGCCAATGGCGAGCTCGCAAGCTCTTTGGCTCCTGCCAGACCCGAACACTGTGCCAGGTAACAGGTAGACTATCAGAATATTTGTCAGATAGAATGCCAGATGGAATGTTAAGAATTCCAGAAAAATGACAGATGACTGCTCAGAGTATATGTCATATAAACTATAGCAGCTTTTATGTGAAAATCAACGTGAGATAGAATGTCAGAATACATGTAAGTTTGTCAGTTAAATGCCAGTTAGGATGTCAGATTAAAAAATAAAAACGTAAACATGATATGTGAGAGATAGAATACAAGGTAGACTGCCAATACAATAAGAATTCATGCCAGACAAAATGTCAGATAGATTGCTAGATAAAATGTCAGAATCTCCGTGGGATCAAATGTCTGATAGACTGTCAGACTGTATGTCAGATGTCAGATAGAATTTCAGAATACATGTCAAATAGAATGTGAAAATAGATATCAGATACACAAGGTTCTGTCAGAAAATGGGGTAATACCTTCTAAATGGCCATTCAATAGTCATTAGCCAATGGAATTTTCAGGTCCCATATTTTCAGACACACCCACAAAGCAAAGCAATGTTTCCTCAACCGTTGTTTTCCATCTCCTCATCCAATCTCTACAGATTTGCTTCGAACGAACATAACTCTGTTGAGTAGATAACATGCCTATGAAAGCCCATCAGATCCCGTGAATCCGGGACATCTCCATGAAATCCGCAGCAGAATCTGTTGCTTCCCCTTACAAAATCAAGGTAAAATCGCCACAGCGCCATAGGTGGACTTGGATGGAAATGGCAAAGTGGACTTCGACGAGTGACTCGACGCGTTGGTGGCGCACACCCCCTGGACCGACCAGACGGAGAGAAAATTTAGGTGACAAATCAATGGGCCTCAAAAATTGTGAGTCGATCAGCCAAAATGGGGAGTGAATATGGTTTGATACGACTCAATATGTTTTTTTTTTAATATACCAGATAATGCTATATGGTATAAAATGTATAAATGGTACAGTTTAATATGTTTTAATCCATACTCAATCAACATACCAGTTTTATTGTGTCTTGATATGACTGTACAGTTATAATTAGTTATAATTTGATATGATGTAACCAAACCAGATATATATAGGAATTGAAGCCAGAAAGGTAGGGATTTGGCCTTCCCAGTAGGGTTGTATTGGGTCTAACCAACCAGCTTATGGGGATATTTGGTTAAGGGGAACATATTTGGATAAACAATGTGAATGTGACATGTTTTTTTTGAACAATGATGCAATCATCCAGCCATTCCATTGGAATTTAATGATCAATAATGAATTGCTGAACAATTATTATTGAATTAAATGGCTTGGGTTTGTCCAGAAATGGAGAATGGCATGGGTTGCCAATCTATGGCCATGGAATAAGGAGGAAATAAGGTGTCAAACCGCTGGATTCTGGCATACAATTTGTGTGGAGGTAGCAGGAATTTGACACACCTCTCTGAGTTTGGACAAACCTCTCCGAGTTTGATAGGAACCCAATTCATATGTTTATGGACTTTTGCGGAAACTATGGAAAACTAAGCTTTCAAATTGAAATCGGTAGATTTGTTTGGCACCTTGCTTTGAAACAAAATACGTTACTTCGAGTGATCCCAACCATGGCATTTCAAGGCATATGTTCTGACATATATGTTGACATATATTCTGACGTTTTACCCAATATTGCATCCGACACCTATTCTGGCATTCTATCTGACATCTATTCTGACATATCTGGCATTCTCTCTGACATTCTCTTCAGTTGGGGAAGTGGACAAGAAGGGGACAAGAGATAAGTCGAGGGAAGCGGAAAAGTTCCATGCCCTAGTACAAACCCACAGCTACAGGTCCGGAGGGGAACACTGAACACTACGATCTAGCGCTGGATCACTCTGATCCTGAGCTTCCTGTTCGGGTCTGGAGGGGACCACTGCGATCACGAGCTTGCAGTTGAGGTCCGGCGGTGGAGGAGGCGGAGGAGGTGGGCGGGACAGCTGACATAAAATCTAACAACCGTCACCTGTCAAGTGGGGAACTTGCTGATGTTCTTAACTAGGTGAACCCAAAGTCAAAAACATGTTTGGAGACAAAAGAAAAACACAACACACACCCCAGCAAAATGCCTAAGACGTGAAGGTCACAAACTCCTGTGGTGGACGAAATGTTGAAACATGCGCAAACCCGCGTAACAACCTAAATGTTTTTGGTTGCCTAAAACACATGGCTACAATGTGGACGTAACATGACGTAACTAGATCAACCCGGCTGTGACTTCGAAGAGCTGATGCGCCAAGTGCTGCCAAACATTGCGTCAGCAAATCCCGGAGTCCCGCATTGGCGTTCCTGGCCATGACAGTAAGGCAGACATGTAAGACATTTAGCAACAAGACTTGATTTTTAGGCAGAAAAACTATAGAATACAAGCCAGAAGAGTTGGGAAGTATATCCAGCACGCGTGGGATACCAAATGATACCAAGGTTGCTAAGATGAATGCCTTGGAACATCGAATCCAACCAGTTTCTTACGCATTGTTTTCCGTTGAAAATTCCAGGAACATTCCCTGAGGCTCTGTGGCCTCAAATAAGTAAAAAACGGCAATGTACCTAAAATACAAGGTCATCTCCGTAAAAGCTTAATTTCAAGGTCGTTTGTCGGAATGGGCTATGTTTTGTCGGAAAGTTTGTCGGAAAGGGCAGGTTTTCTGCCATTCTTGCTCTGACAGCGCATTGCGCATGATATTGTGATGTTCAACCAAACATCGCAAAACTATCTCACTATGAATTCATTCGTACATATGCTTTGTGATAAGGGTACACTATGGGTTGACTTTGTTGATGGATCATCCTGGTGTGTCTCAACCCCCAAATGCTCTCAATTCACCATGATGTCATCCAAATATCTAATATATTGGCAAATACGACACACCAGGATGAAACGTGCAATAGCCTTACACAGGGATGCCCAGAAACGGGCTCGAAGGGAGGAACCCAGTGTGCCATGTGGCGCTTCTCAGAAGCCAGTTGGACCTTTGAAGAAGTGGGGAGGTTCGCCTACCCCCCACAGCCTTGCAGTGCGGTCGACAATCTTATGTTTTTAAACAATATGATGGGGGTCACGATTAGATAAATCATTGGGATTGACCTTAGCTTTGGGGATGAAACGATTCTTGGTGCATCCTGCGTGCTTGGTGTTATGCATATTTGTTTGGAACATGCCACTGCATGCCTGGAACGATAAGGAAACCCATTTAATTCCCTTAATTAACCATTATTGGAATACTCGCCCTATAGATATTAGAATATGATATTACCAGGTGCTATTTTTTATGTTGGGTGCACCATTTTTTTTTGACCAAGAGTTCATGGGTTTATGTCCTGCCCATGACCCGCAGACAATTTTTTTGGTCAGCCCCCTTGCGCGATTGTGCCGGGGCCGTTGTGCTATATACCTTGGTTCAGCTGCGGGGATCATGTCTGGACCACCATCAGTACAACGCCTCATTTTGGAGGACAAACACATTTGAAAACATAAGGGTTATTGTTTAGGGGTGTTCTTAAACCTGACATAGGACATCTCATCATTGGGAACCCTGAAGGACTTTCTCAATAGCTATTTCATGGAGCATGCAGACCGCATTCGGAACGATGCCGACAACACTGTTTTGGTGGTTCCCAAAGATGGGCCTGCATCCGCTGAGATGGTGGTTTGGCCATTTTAACTTGAATTCATTGTGTTGTTTTGTCATATACCATCTCCACAAGTTTCTTTTAAATATATATATATATGTATTACACCCACTAACTACCCTAAGACCATACAGGAAAGATGACTGGCTGTTTGTAAACCAAACATAATATGACATAAGATGACTTGTTGTTTTCCCCAAGGTCACTTGGGTATGGCCACCTGAGGTGGAAGTTCATTGGCAATTTGCACTTGAATACTTCGCCAGCACTGGTAGCTGCATGGTGCCAACGATGAAGGCTCATCAGGACTGATCATAAATGATATACTCAACAAGAAGGGTTGTACACATACACAAAAGAACTTGCAGGTAGTTCAAACTATATTCCAAGCATAACATCTTCAAACTAACCACATACAGCTACATATATATATATATATATATGTATATATATATATATGTGTATATATATATGTATATATATGTGTATATATATATATGTAAAATTACAAGGCAGCCTGTTGATGTCTCTGTTGCAAGTCAGCTGTTGCTGTGCACGCACTGTTTTTTCTGTTGGCACAAGATAGGCTCAAGGCCTATATGTTGATCCAAGATGTTGAACGGATGGACACTGGCACAACTGTGTTGGGACAGGGTGTTGATTCCTAACAGCATATATTTCTACATGAGATATGTGGTTTTTATGGCTTGATACCCAAGGGATATTATGCTAGGCTAGAACCGCCAAACCCTATGCCCACACACCTTTTTATATATATATATATTATCCCATAGCTTTGCCTCGTAGGACTGTCTGATCGTTTTGGCAAAACGCTACGGCATCTTCCAGAAAGTCAAGGGGTATGGCCGAACCTTGAAGGACAGGGACTGAAAACATATGACACTCGAACTCTTACACTATATGTGTTTGATACCAACATATATTATATATTTAAATTTGAATCAATTTGGATTTCCCTACTAGGATTGGGCTGTGAAGCAGGCTCCCCCTATCAGATGCCTCTTCGTTCATGCCCTCCGGTTGTGTCGCCGTAGCAGCTCATCGAAGTCTTTGAAGATCAAGATGCTGAAGGAATCGATGGAAGTCATCATTTCCGCGTCAGGTGGGGGTGGTGCCAAATTCTTTGTTCCCCAAGCCGAGGGTGATAGGTGTTTGCCATGAATCGATGTCCCGATGTCTTCATCAGCGCGCCAACCATGGTCGCTCAAATTTGGGCCCATTCCCAGACCCTAGTACCCAGGGAGAACCACGAACTTGGTCATCCAATCCTGTAGTCCCGGCCACACAGGGCATCAATTCAGTTGTTTTAAGGAGTGTCAGCTCCACAATACAGCAGGTCTATTTTTGAGGTGTCTACTTTTTACAACCCCTGTTGCGGGAGAATCTCCACATGATGGCATCGAAGCAGCTCTGGCGAATGCGTCTTTGCAGGACTTGGTGGGGAACCCAAATTTAAGTTGTTTAAACAACTATTATGTATATATATATATATATATGTATATTTATCCACCCTGTAGGATGGTGATGAGCAGGATGTATCGACTCCGTCGTCGTGCAGTGCTACACCCCCTTCTGTAGTGAAGGCCAAAGCGGCTCCCATGCGTCGCTACAAAGTGAAGGTCCCTTGCCTGGGGTTGTGAACATATCCCATTTTTATTGCACATGATTTTACAATTTATAGCCCACCAGTAGTATTCCTTAATTGGAAAATATGTTTAAAGTTAGCATTCTTTTTTTGAAGGGTGGAAATCCAGCCTTGGCATTCAAGGCTCCTCAGGCCCCAAACCCTGATGAGATGGAAACGCAACAGCTTGTTGATGACTTGGAAAAGCTCATGAATGATGACCTTATGTGTGACGATGCTACCCCAGAGGTGGCTGTGGATCCCAAGGTGGATGGTTACCGTCGTCAAGCTGCCAAGGACGCAATTGGTAATCTTAAGGGATACGCATTTTATTGATTATTTCCCCACCTGCCAGGTGAGGGTTGTTAGAATTTATCACAGTTGTTCTCCTCCTCCTCCTCCTCTTCCTCCTCCCTCTCCTCCTCGTCCTCCAGCTTCTCCTCCACCACCTCTGCATCCACTCCCATGTTCACTTCCGCCTTGCCAACTCTTCGCCAACGTCCGCGCGCAGTGGGCACTGCTGGACCTCAACTGCCGGCTTCCGATCGTGGGCACCGCTGGACCTCAACCTGGGACCGTCAGAGCTCAGTGTGCACTGCTGGACCTCAACGGCCAGATAGACTGCCAGAAGATATGCCAGATAAAGTGCCAGAATGTTTGCCAGATAGAACGCCAGAAGATTTGCCAGATAGAATGCGAGATAGAATGTCAGAAGAGATGCCAAAAGATATACCAGATAGAGTGCCAGAAGATATGCCAGAACATATGCCAGAAAATATGCCAGGTAGAATGCCAGAAGATATGCCAGATAGAATGCAAAGGGAGTGGCTGGTATCTATGTGATCTTCACCATGATATGTCATGGTGGGGATCACTCGAAGTAAAGTAGTTATTGTAAGATAAAAATTGTTGCCCATTTATGTCAAAAATATCTGATACCTCTTGTTTCAGATCTATACGTATACCAACCCAAAAAATGCTTATATATGTGCTTAAGGTTCCACATCCCTTTACAGGAGATGCATTGCATGGAAGCTATTCCACCGGAGATGCCCGACAAGACCGACCTTGAAATGACTGAGCTCATGGAGAACCCCCCTGATGCTTACCAGGCACAGCTGGTGGCCGAGAAGGCAAAGAAGATTCAGCATGCAGAGCAGCTCCTGAAGAATGCACAGAGTGATGGGAAGGTGAAGAACAAGTTCTCGAAACCCGGTCGGGGGCGTGGAAAGGGTCGTGGGAGAGGCCGTGCTGTTGACAATTCCGTGGCTGATCCCAAACCTTCTGAACCTGCTGGTGAGAGCAATGGGAATGATCCAACCCCTGAACCAGAAGGGGGAGGTTCCGGCTCTGGTGAGCCTGCTGGTGGGGACCCCAACATTGAAGTGGCACCTAAAAAGGGGCGCAACCATCTTACTCAGAGTGAATTGCAAAAGATGTGGTCTGAGAAGGTTGCCGGACATCTTTAGCATCGATGTTTTTCATATATATATATATATACCGGGTCATTTTTATTATTATCGATGGGTGTCGAACGGGAGGGGGTTCAACACCAGCGGCATTTTGCTTTATAATGCCTTTGTGTTAAATGAGGCTCCCTTGCTTCGAGCGGCAGCTATTCCTGTGCCTGCTGACTTTGACCCTACCAGCAAGAAGTCCTTCACATTGCCCCCTCCAGATGATAAGAAATGCGGGTCCGTAGGCATTCTGTTACTTGGCTATTTTATATACTTGAACCCACCGGGTAGCATCAAAAGCGTTTTTTTTGGTGACACTATAGGTTTCCCAAGTGATTCAATTGACACTTTCCCTGTAAACAATGACCCATCACGTATGTGCTACTGAACTACGAACATGTGTATATATATATACATACTCCTCAAAAACAATAATATCCCATTAAGTTTCTAGCCGAGTGTTTTTCCCAGGTGGACGTTGGATCAGATCTACGTCTCAGCTGTGACCAACAAGGAAGCTGATGAGTCCATCCGGGTGAACAAGAAAGGAGGGTCGACGTTGTCAATTCGAAAGAAGGGCTGGGCTGAAAACTTTACCTTAGCCAAGAAACTGGCAGGTTGGTGAATTTGCCAGAGAATGCTGTCACACCCTAGGGGTCCTCCACATGGTTTGTGCACAACAATATTATTATTTGATTGTATAAAATATTAATATACCACAATGGTTCACATATCTTCACCGGTGTGGTGTGACCAGGGTGTCTTCTAGTTTTGCTAGATGAATGTGGCATAGGCTGTGTGTCTACACACAAGACGTGGCCGACTCCCATGCCCCGGAAGCCTGTGAAAAACTGCGAGTAGTATTGGTCAAGGTTCGACAGCTTAATGAACATATTCACGACCAAAATGTGTTGTGGAGCCAAATTAGCATACCATTGTAGTTGTGGCCACCTCGCTCAATATTTTACTTATGTCTTATGTCAGTTTTCTCTTGTGGATGATCTCTGCAATGCGTTCATTTTGCTGATTTAGATACTCCTAGTGACACCTGAGACCCATCCAATCGGATCCCACAGCCTGTCCTGAATCCATTCGCCATCATGGCATTGGGCCTCTCCAAGCGCAAAGCATGTGCACTGCTATTTTGGGGAGCACCAGTCCTGCTGATTCTTCGATGCATCTTATGTTATGTCTGATGGTTGTTTATACTTCACCATTACAGTGGGTCTTCAAGCCATCCATATACATAAAATAAAAAATAAAAATATATATATATATATATTATATTACCTGTATTATGTATATTATATGTATGTACACTATACCGAAACAAGTCTGATCAACTCACCTTCTGGAAACAATTTGATCCCAACCATGTACATCATCGAGTAACTTTACCTTGACATCCGGCTCGGCTTAGGATTCACTTGGTGGATTATTGCTGTCAAGTTTGGGCCGCTGAGCATGGTGATGGTCCTATGCAAGTCCCTTGGGTTGCATCAAGTCGGATGGTTACAGATGGGGTCTGTCTTGAAATATGAAAAATGATTGCCCTCTACTTAATTGTCCTTATGTTATTTTAGGTGTGTGTGTGTGCCGTTTTTCGGAGGCCAGTCCTAAACCAAAATGAAATGATCCCCTTTCTTACCATTTCAAAGTAAATAATGGTGTGGTCAAAATGGCCCCATTTCTTCTCCCATGAGGACTTGCAAATGCTGGAGTTGTTTAGCGGGGAGCAGGAGCTGACCCGACAATGCAGACACTTGGCTAGACAAAAATTCCTTGGATACACCTTTCATCCCAAACAACGGCATGTTTCTGCTGTTTAATTCACAAAGGATGATATTGCACACCGCATGGGATGACAAGTGTTGTTACAAACCCCTGGGAGATAGTTAAACCTTCCTATGAAATGGTTCTTTTAAACTTGCACCAGCTGAGGATTGAATGGCATCGAGTGTCGTGCAATGGACATCAGGAAAGACAAGGTCTTGCATGACTTGACGTCTTCCCGTGGGTTCTGTCTAGCCTTGCTCCGGTTGCTTCGAGTGCAGCCCAATGGAATGATATGGGGCGGCAACCCTTGTGCTAGGCAACCGGGTTTGAGTTTAGCTATGTTGAAAAATACACTGAAGGTGTTAGTCATCATTTAAAAAAATCCAACCCGGCCCATAAGCCTATGGTGGGGACTATGTCTACTTCATGGAAAAATGGTTTTGGCAGCTTGACTGCTTCACACCCCCAAACCAATGGACCATGATTTATGCATTGGTATTTCCACAATGGGGGATGCTCGAAAATACCTAAAAGGGGTTATTTTTGAATATTTTGGAGCATCCTTCATTTTGAGAAATACATTATATAATATATATCTTGAACAAGGGATTTAACCCACATGGTGGTGATTCATTGTTTCATTTTGGTCCCTCCAAGTTAGCAGCGCAAGTTCCTTTTTACATATGGGGTAACGTAAGTGTAGTTGACTACATTGTTGGGGTGCCCTTGTGTCCTTGGTGAAATCCCAACCACTACGGCCAGTTGGGTTTGGATAAGTGCATCTACGACGAAGCGACGCAGCCGCGAACATGGCATTTTCGGAGATGAAGGGCTGGAAGGGGTGCGGGTTGCTAATTGTTTAGCAGCCCGCTTTGCTCTATTGGCCATGGTGGCCATTGTTAATGGTGTTTGGTGGTCTGTCACTAGTATGAATTGGCATTGGGGTCTGGGTATGTAGTTTTTGGTCATCATAAAAAATCGGGGAAACATCAACAAGTGATATCGATTTAACATAATGTTTACCCCAAACACTTTCCCGTCCTTGTATCCTTTCAAAATCACGACCATCAACTGCTTTATCCAAACCCTAATTTTAGGAAATGTGTTGCAGCTGGGAGTTCATATATTAAAGCTAAGTTGGCATCTAATAAAAAAAATATCACACCACAACCCCACACCGTTGCTAGTGGCCTCGTGGGTAAAGCTCGAGTCTCCCTGGCAGGGGCCCGGGGGCAACCACCAAAATGAACATGCATGAAAATGATTTTCTAGGAACAACAAAAATGATATCCTATTTTTCGTAATATATTTCTGCTCCATCCCACAAACCCTGTCTGACAATATCATTGTATAACATCCTCAAATATTGTTTATCATGCAAATGGGGTAGATGTTGCTGGGACTTCTTCATACAGGGGCTAGTTGTTCATCTACAGGAGGACTATGCACATGTATCTAGCTACAGTCACCGCGTATATTATGTGGTTTGACACAGCTGTTTTCCGCTGAAATTCATTCTCACTGAGGTAGAACAGCCATCTTCAAGCTGTCTTCCCAAGTGCCCCTACGTGGCCCACGTCATGACCAACATGGCACCTACGTGGTACTTGCGAACGTGGATGGGGGCATTTAACCACTTCTGTAGTAAACCTACAGCATTGTTTGGATCATGGTGGCTTATCTTATTATTTCGAAGTTTTCATCATAACATTTTAGGGATGTTTAATTCATGTCTAGGTTTTCCCGATGCCATCAGTTGAAGAAAAACTCTGCTTGATCTTTTCCCATAAGGCCATTGCTTGAAGAACTTAAATGCCGGCTTTCACAAGCAGAACAAAAGTCATTGAGGGAGTCATCGGCTGGCATGTATACCAAGAAGAGATTACCGGATGGACGGGTGAGGGTTACTGGAGGAAAAAGGCTGAAAGAAAGTGGAGCTTACACACCGGAGTTTGGAAAGCGCGTCGCTCAACTATTTAAAAAGGGCGCAGTTGCTTGTTGTTCACTAACAGTACCCATTTTGTTTTTCCCAATACTGTCACCTGTACATGCCACACCACTTGGATACCACACCTGGTGCAAACACTTCCGGCAGCTCCACTGTGAGGTTTCAGCATCGCACCTTGCTGCACAGCGACAACGATCTCTGTGGAAACTAGAAGGCCCTAAGGGCTTTGATGCTTGGATGTAATGATACCTTATTAGTGGTATTTTTTGGGGTGTGTTGACATTAGGCAGGTTAAAGTTCCCAATACTGCAGTTTACTCAAACGTCATTTTCTTTCCCTGTCTTTTGATTGGCAGGGTCCGAACATGATCATTCTTGGGGAAATTCGATCAAAACTGATTGCCAGTAATGTGAAAAAAAACTACCCGTGCCGTTGCTCACGCAGCGGAAGCGGTTGTTCATAGCCACTGCTACCTGGGCCACATTGTGGCCTTCGTCCATCATGACCCTAGTCTTGTTGTAAGGGTTTTCGGTCGCCATGCCGTTCATGAACTGCGCAACCACGCGGCACGCACATTGTCAGCAAGTGACACTGCCATGCTGCCACATCCGTCCGACAGCACATGACAATTCGAATGGTTGAGGTCTGATTCCTCATCTTGTCGGCCAAAGCTCCGTACACCGGTACCAAGACAAAGAGATATATGCATTTAAACACACACATATATATATTATAATCTATTTATTTGTTGTTTTTTGAATTGATATTTACTATACTGTTATATTTACACAAGACGTACGGTATATATAAATATTTACATCTCATGAAAATAATATATCTATATTTGTATGTATATATTGAAATAACAATATTTACATATATATAATAAACATCAAATATGCAATACTCATATGTATATAATATACGCGGTGTGTGTATATATATATATATATATCGAAATATATCTATACAAAACACACACACACACACATATATATATATATACACATACGATGTTCTTCTGACCTTTAAAACCACATGATTATCAGTTGGCAATGCCTTCCCTTGTTGTTGTCAACACCATTGTGGGATTTTAGAATGATTAGAACTGCTGGCCCATCTTCTGGAGGAACTTGCAGGGGGGCTTCTTTAAGGGCCACTTGAGAATGAAATTCAATCTTGCAACAAACTACAGGATTAGTGATGCTTGTGCTCGTACCATTGGTATACCAGAAAAACTCGAGATATTATATACTAAAGTATTTTACTGAACCAATGCCTAAGCTTGAAACTTACTTTTGGGAGATGGCCCACTGAGTAAGGTATAATCGCATGACTATACCCAACTGTTGGAAAGATGAGCTTAAACTTCACCTATGCCAAACAGTTTATCTACCTGACTTTAAAAAACTTCACCATATAGAATGGTATGGGTCCGGTTCTATATGCACATTACAAACCGAAATTCCACTAACGATAGTCCACCATTGTCCTATGAGGGAATAGGCTCATTACGCTAGTTTATATTTTTGGAGATTATACATTTAATTTTCAGGACTTAACGATAAGGGCATCACTTGCACTAACCTTGAGCAATGACACCAATTTTTGATGAGTTTGGGTGGTCTACTTAAAGGGTTGTAGTTTAGGTGACCCATACCTATAGCCGTCTTGCATTTGGCCTCTTATCATCCCATGCTTTGCTGAGGAGCAGCCCTTGGATTGGAAACATGCTGACTTACCAGCTCTTCGGCAGTTCCTTTTGGAGGAGATTGCAGCCAACAGGTTCCATCCCCAACCTGGCCTTCCATTGTAGGTTGCAATGCGATCCTGAAGCGGTTGCAAGGCGGTGTGACACTATAGCTGACCAGCATAGTGCACTTTAATTTCAGCCTTTTGAGGGTGACACAAAAAGACAACTATATGGAATCTTCCATATTGCCAGTTAAAAACAGTGTTTGGGCTGGGCCAAAATTGCTGTCACCGCTAATTAGCAGATTTCGCCGAAAACATGGCAATGCGAACTACGCATAGCCAAAATTAAGATATGCAAGCACATTGCATTGCATACTTGAGACCTTCAAGAACTAGCCTAAATGCTGCCCGTGGCAGGTATCCACAGACCTGGTTTCGAAGATGTGGGACACCAGTTTGGAACACAACAATATTACATTGGAAACCCAATTACCAACACATCCCTGAGTTCATTTGGTATGAGTTATGTTATTAAAGCGGGGTTCTGTGCAAACATTAGCTTTATCAGGCTAATATAGCTCGCCCAACACAGATTAGCACATTATCTTTTGAAAGAATTCATGTTTTCTTTAACATTTGCACTCATACCCCATCTCTGTTCAATGATATTGTTTCAACATGCAAACAACCTAGCGTATTTTGTTATTTTTGGCACCAAAGTTTGATGATGGTAGACCCTTTGAAGCTCACAAATGACATTTTGAGGGTGTTGACATGCCAACATGACCTCAGGGTCGATTGGACACACCTGGCGGGACCCTTGTGGGACCTGGTGGGGCCTAGTGGGGGCTCTGGGTGGGCTAGGGAGCAGAGCGTGACGCCGCGTGACGCCGCGTGATTTCGCGTGATTTTCCGTGATTTTTCGTGATTTTTCAATTTCAATTTACTTTTCCCTACTTAAAATTGGGTCGTTTGTCGGAACCGGGTGCCGCCGCGTGATTTTGCGTGATTTTCCGTGACGGACCGTGACAGCTTGGAAATGACCATGATGGGCTATGAACGGTACTTTTTTGGGATGGATGACCCTTGATATTTACAAGTATTGACTTTGAAAATCTTCGAAAAATGATGTTACTGTACTTAAATCTCAAACCTGTGGTCCGGTTCAATACAGCCACCAACTTTGGGATGCATCAACTCAACCCTTCGAACTTAGGTGACTTGGGATTATACGAAGTTATGTCCCGCATTGGCAAACATGGTTCGTATCCAGAATATAAAGATGTTGTGGTTCTTAGATGTTCGTAGATTCTTCATAGCCCAGCTGTCAGACTGCGTGACATGACAGTATGCAAGGTCAGCTTCTGATTTGCCCGCATGTTCATGCATTAAAATGACTGTTGTTCATCTTATTGCAGCATTTGTGTTTGGATGGACTCCGGAGCTTGCTTTTAGAGCAATGTCGTTGCCTGATCCAGACCTGGTGAAGGCCAATTTAAGTAGCAGTCAACTAGACGTTTCAGAAGCTGTGATATGCAGTCAAGATTAGGGAACACTTATGTTACTAACTGATCAGAAAGCGTTTCAACATTAAACTTTTTGGCAAGGAATCCCACTAAGTAAGGTTAACTGATGTTATCTCCCAATATTTAATGGTACTGGTTCCCAGCCACCCATCAAAGTGCCTCTTGATCCATGGGAAATACCTTTGGTCTTGTAGATTCCACCCCTGCAGGCGGCGCAAATGGCCATGCAGAATGGGCAGCGTCGGCTAAAACTCATGCAAGGGGTGGTCAACAACAGTACCGCTAAGCGTGATCGCACCGATGTGACCAAAACGCCGTCTACCCAGGTGACCCCCGAGAATGTGAAGAAGGGTGCAACGTCTGATGATTTGCAGCCCCGGGCATTGGATTTTTCAACTACAGGCTTGGGTCTCTATGGAGCATCATGTGAAACAGAACAACTTGGCACCCCGTAAGACTTTATATAACATGGGTATAACATGCGGTTGTTCATACTGTAGTCCTTCCACGCTAGTTAGTAGATTCTTTGGGTACCACTATAAGCCAAATGTTTTGGGAACCCATAGGATTGGTCTAGCACCCGGAGGTTGTGTATAATATATAATATGTTCAGTGATATATATATATATATATATTTATTTATATATATAATTATATATATATATCGATATATATATATCGATACAACCAACTAGTGTTTTAATATTACACAATATATCTATATAATATATAATCTAATACTCATATATATATATATATAGTGCCTGTGCGTGTGCATACTATGGCTTACACTACCTGCCATTCCTGCAAGGTGGTGGCAATCCAGGAGGCGTGTCCTCTAGCTCATCGGGGGAAACTGGTGGGAATAATGCCTTGAAGGCAACAGTGGCTTGACGTGTTTCAGTTTTTTTTTAATGGTTTCAATCTGGAAGAATTTTTTGTTTTTGCATCAGTCTAATTAAACGACAGACCTTTGCACCGATCCTGTCCAAAAACTGCAAGGTGGCTACGGCAACTGCTGGTGGCATCAGCATTTCTCAAATGCAAGCCATAGCAACACCACAGAAGGTGCCTGTCACGACCGACCCACATCCCCAAGCAACCCTAGACGACACACTTGTGGTTGATGATGACAACATGGAAACACCAGAGCCTGTGCATACCAGCAAGTCGCCTGAACCAGCAGCAGAGCATTCCCAGGGTTTTGACAAAACACAGCAAACTCCCAAGACAAGGGCTTACTTGGCTTGCATGCAACGAAAGTCCACTGATGACCTTTCACTGCCGAAGACACCAGAACATCCCACAGCAGAAGCAGCTCCAGTGATTGTCACCCCAGTGGCAGCAAGACCAGCTCACAGCACACCAGCTGTTGTGACCCCAACGCCACCTGTTGTTGCACCTGCACATGTGTTGACTGCAGCACCCGGCACAGCATCAGCAGAAGCACCGCCTGGCAGCACGGCAGTGGCACCAGCTCACATCGCCCCGGCAGCAACACCAACACCTGTTGTTGCACCCGCACATGTGTTGACTCCAACACCTTTCACAGCATCAGCAGAAGCACCGCCTGGCAGCACTGCAGTGGCACCAGCTCCCATCGCCCCGGCAGCAACACCAACACCTGTTGTTGCACCCGCACATGTGTTGACCCCAACACCCGTCACAGCATCAGCAGAAGCACCGCCTGGCAGCACGGCAGTGGCACCAGCTCCCATCGCCCCGGCAGCAACACCAACACCTGTTGTTGCACCCGCACATGTGTTGACTCCAACACCTGTCACAGCATCAGCAGAAGCACCGCCTGGCAGCACGGCAGTGGCACCAGTTCACACCGCCCCGGCAGCAACACCAACACCTGTTGTTGCACCCGCACATGCGTTGACTCCAACACCTGTCACAGCATCAGCAGAAGCATCGCCTGGCAGCACGGCAGTGGCACCAGCTCACATCGCCCCGGCAGCAACACCAACACCTGTTGTTGCACCCGCACATGTGTTGACTCCAACACCTGTCACAGCATCAGCAGAAGCATCACCTGGCAGCACGGCAGTGGCACCAGCTCCCATCGCCCTGGCAGCAACACAAACACCGTTGGAGCCCGAACCCCAGTCACCTGACCCCCGCTTGCTTCAGTTTTGGTCGAGGTTCAAACGGAGCCCCATGTCCAGGGAGCCTCTGGTACGCCCACTGCCGCCACCCACATTGAACCTACCAGCTCCAACAGAAGCCTTGTACACAGTACTTGATCCCCTCAACTGGAAACACCTGATTCGATCCAATGTTGGACACCGCTCTGACTGGAGATCATGTTTTGTGGTGGCTGCATACAACCACAACACAATCTTTACCTTTGCGAATGAGCGAGGTGAGATTGATGGAACCCCTCAGGTGTCAGATTTCCCACTTGTGGTTTGCAAAGGGGCCTTCCCAACCGAGCCCATTGCAGTTGCAGCCCCCCACCTTGTCCCAGCAGCAGCAGCGACCACACTGGGGATGCCAACCCCTGCACCTCTGGCAATGACCCCACCAGCCATTGTGGATCGGGCAGATCTACCGGCGACAGCAGAAGCAGCATCAGCAGCAGCACCACCAACTATTGCCTCTGCAGAAGTTGCATCAGCTTCACCGATGCCTCCATCCCCAGCAGTGGTTGGAACACCTGCATCCCACCCTGCACTGCCAGTGACACCAGGGTCGGAATCTGCCACGGCACCACCACAAGCCCCACCCTTCACACCAGTTGTGGAGCAGCCAACACCACCCCAGCCGCCAGCACCAACACCGCAGCCGTTAGTACCACCCCCACCCCCACCCACACCACCTACAGCTCGCCTGGCAGAAAATTCCGCAGATGACAGGGCACAGTACATGAAATTTCACAGGAGCGTCCGACATCCCACAGCACCCAAGGAAGTGACCCAGAAGTTCCACGAAGCATCAAAGGACAAAGCAAAGATGAGGTCTTTGTTCCAAGAATTTCAAAGATGCAACGGGGACTGGCTGTCCAGCACCCTTGTGATCCGTGATTCCCAGACTACAACCAACACCCAGGGTGGTAAGGATGGATACCTGTCAAAGGCTGACCCTTAGCTATCTTTTTACAAAACAGGGTTTCAAATGTTGTTTCCAAAATCTGCTGGGGTTTTGCTGGCTTTAGAGCATGCCAATATTGTGGGTATGGTGTGCATCGCAGCAAATGTTGACCAACCAAGGACCTTTTGGTTAAGTACCATGGCAATACCCTTTTGGTGGACGAGCTGATCAAGAAGAAGGTTTGGGGTTGTTAAACGTAACTAAAGTAAGTAAATATATTTCATAGATGTGTGTATATTATTTTATTTTGATGATATAATATAAACAATATATGTGGTTTGGGTCTTGTTGGCCTATGTGGTTTGGGCTTGTTACCCTTCTACCTTTATTCCAAGATATTATGAAGGGGATAGCACAGTTATTGCTCTTAGGGGGGTCCCATAGTAAACAGGTAAATTTCCCATTTGGCTAATATATGTTTGCTTCCCCTGAGACCGCCGAGAAGAAGTACATCTCTCATCCGGAGTTTCCAGACAACGAGGAGCCTTCTGGGGCGTGAGTATAGAATCATGGTTTCTGCCTCTGGTGTCCGGGGAAGTACCATGTTGATAATGATAATAAATAAATAAATAAAAAAAAATATATATATATATATAT